GCAGAACGTCCGGAGAGCTCTGGAGACCAGGGACGCTGTTGATGACAACACAGACCTCCTGACTGGACCAGCAGGCTGCTAGCCATAATGTTAGCGAGCAAGCAAGCTAATATTAGCCAGCTAGCTGCAACCCAGCCACACTGAATAACGTTATGGAGTTAAACTTTCAGAGACACACTTACACAGACATGGTGCACATATGTTTAGATTCAGTGTGACTTTCATATCAAGAGGAAATCAGTATCTCTGATGTCTATCGTGGATAAAAAATCCATGTAGAAATCATCTAAAAAGACAATGTTCATAACTGCAGAACTGAATGATCAGTTTTTACATTATCTTCACTCAATTTTTAACTGATTGTTTTGAAAGGTTTTGTTGTCTCTGCTGCTTCATACATCATTCATACATTCATACATTCATACACACATTAGCATTAACATTGTGAGCACTGACAGGTGACGTGAATAACACTGATTATCTGGTATTGTTATCAACCAATATATAGAAGCAATTTCCTTTGTATGAAAACCTACTTGGCAATAAAACACAGTCTGACTCTGATCATTGTTAAGTTTCAACATCTGTGACTGAAGAACAATTAAAATATTTCAATGATATTCCTAAAGGCTTTTCATAAAGATTTTCTAACAGTAGCGTTCACAGTCGGCCTGTAATGGGTTTGTAATATTGTTAAAAATTCAAAACATAGAAGAATATTAAGTTATAGTTAGAAGACGAACAGGAAGTTAATCTGTGTCCTTTGTAGGTCATTTTGATAATTTGTATTCCTGAACTGCCAGCTTTTTAAAAGTTGCTACCACAAAGAATTGTGGGCCAGCGTTCTATCTTTTGGTATCTAAAGTATGGTCTAGTGCATCCTCTGCTAAAGAGATAATAAAGAAAGCATTGACGCTCCTTTTCTCAGCATTTAGAGAATTCAAACAGCTCTTATCATATTTGCAGTGAATAGAATAAAACCCAATCTGTGTTTTTAACTTTAACGCACATCATCAACGTCTCTTTACGGTGATTTTACCACATGGCAGTGAGCTCTTTATATGACATGTTTATGCAACCTGAAGTCATTATTACTCATTATTACTCATTCCAATCCACAGGACCTTTGTCACATCATGAGTTTATCATCATCATTGTTATAATCATAGTAATAGTGCTGCTGGTTAACATTCAGTGTGCTTGAATACAAATAAAAATAGATTATAAACAAAGTTATATATCAAGTATAGTAGGGTGCACAGGTTTTATTTTTAACGTCCTATTGAAATAATTATTTATTTTTTTATCAAAAGAATCACATTTTTAGAGGCTGCAACGTGTTCGGAAACTCATGAAACAATGGCAAAATGGCTTTGCATGGCATGTTTCACCGATATGCATGAAAATTGGTACACACATGTATCATGACCAGACAAACAAAAAAGCCTCTTGGACCCAAACCCCAAACCCAACAGGAAGCCATTTTGTGGTCATTTTTGTGATTTGCACTTGTTCTCACTCAACGAACTTCTCCTAGGGAATTGATTGGATCGACTTGGAAAGTTGTGCTATTTGTGACTCTGTGTCTGTGGCGTGGTGTCAAATTTCAACATTTTGCCAAGAAACAGGAAGTTGTCATAACTTAAGTGTACTTTTTCCCATCTGCACCAAACAAAGAGTCCCGCCCTGAACACGTCTACATGCCAATATTCAGGATGTGAATGCTTCTTCTATCACTGTGCAGAGGTGCAGAGAACAGCAGAGCCAATCAGCTTAATGCAAACAGACAAAGAGAGATGAGATAAAAGAGGAGAGGAGGAAGAGGAGGGTGAACTTAATCTACTTCTCTGAGCGAGGAGAAAAGGGCTGAGACATGACTGAGGTCAAAGAACTTTGCATTGATGAACAGAACAGTGAATTTTTTTACGGTTTGTTTCAGATGATAAAAGTCATTTTATATTTCATGGCTTTTCTCTCAGCTGACAAATTAATACAAAGAGTTCCTCTCTGTCTCACAGATTTAAAGCTGAAAACTCAAAATTTCACTTCACAGATTTGAGATTTCACCTGAATGTAAACATCAGGGCCTCATGTACTAAGACTTGCGTGGATTTCCTACTAGAATGTGGCGTACGACACTAAAAGAGTTTAAAGTTCCGTTACGGCACAAAAAAAATTCAATGAAATCAAAACGAAGCGTACGGGCAAGATCCCACGCAACATGTCTTTGTATACATCGCAATCAACGTGAAATTGAGCGCACGGATTGCACGAGCCACAACGCTCACCCGTCCCCCCTCCTAAATTCACCGACCTCAGGCCCACCAGGTGGTGGAAACCGGAAGTGGAGGAGCTGACCCCGTTTGACCCATAGAGTGGCGGCGATTGTGGGCGGACCCGGCCCCTGGCGGTGGGTCAGCGGGTTGAAGGAGACACCGAGTCACCGCGGGATCCCAATGAATGGTTAAATAATGTAAAATTTTTGGATATACCTTTCCTAAACTTAGAACCAATTTGCTTTTAAGATTTTGATTTTAAACCAACCCGCACGATGCGATGGTTTTTACGTGGAAGACATTATGGCCATGTACGCCATTAAACAAAGCCACACAACTTTGATGTTTTCTTTGACGTGGGATTTGTGCGGTACGCAACCGTTAGACATGAGGCCCAGGACTGTATCCAAGTGTTAGGGAAGAGTAATTCAGGCACGTGGGTCCAGAAATGGTTGGACCTACCGCAGTTGGAAACCCGGGCCCCCCCAGCATTTAGAAAACTGACAGATAGCTGGGTTGTTGGACATTAGCATAATCAGCGTTAAAACTTTGCGTACCGACGGTTCTGTGAACAGGCTGCGTAATTGTGTGTCTGTGTGAAAGACACGTAAAGCTAGCTAACGCTAAAGAAAACAATCCTTGTGTTAAAAGCTAAAAGGACTGTGATATGTGTCTGTGGCATTGGTTAGGGGTTGTAACTGAATTAGTACTGGCA